AGAAAAATCTTGAAAGTGAAAATAACTTAGACATGTTTTTTGTTTTGGTTTCTATTTTTCATTTTGCATGCCTTTTTTTTGTACATTTTATCTACATCTCTTCCGCGCCATCGTTTCTCGAACTCTTTTAAACCTCTCAAGCATTATCTCTTATATATTTCTCCCACATCTAAAATATAAAAATGAAAACTAAACGAAATTGAATTGTTTTTATGAATTTATATATCTATAGTCAAAATGGAATATGAGAATTGAAAATTTGAAAGGGAAGAACCAAATTAGAGTAGCATTTAACTAACTCCTAACGTGTACCGAGAATATAGCCAAAAAGGATCAATCTCTAGTTTAGTGAGGAGTGATAAAATAATGATCACTATGTACTCCTGTCACATTCACATTTTTCACTTTTCTTCTTTCTTGAGCATTGTCACATTTGGCGTTTTGCACACATTAATCCTAATTACAGAGTCAGATAACAACTTAGGGCGACAACTTGCATGCATACTCCCATTTATTTAGGTCATCGAGTTTTAAAAAGCATGCATTCGCGTCACCAACAAAACCTAGATGTGGACTAACGAGAAAGTTTTATGTAGTGGTGTATTATTTTACGTATTATGATATAGGTGGATTGTAAGTTTGATTAAAAATTATTGGTCATTGTATATATGCTATCTACGTAGTTATTAAAATTTTGAAAATAAATTTACAATAACAGAAAATGTATCAATGGTTCTGGTCGTTTAATCTTTTTAATGACAACTTTTAAACGATTTTTTGTCTCTGATGAACCTTCTTATATCTTTAGTGATTGTTTCTAGGTAACTATTTTGTCACCAAAATTTTATTTTATTCGGTAGAAAAAAAGTGGAAGAGAGAGGAAAATGGGAGGAAAAATGGGGATAATTGATGTGGTTACCTGGCTGTGATGGGAGGGAAAAAAAACAGTAAAATTATTTTGTGTTTAATTTACTATATTGTCCATAACTTTTCTTTTGATTTTTTTTCTTTAGTTTTGTTGCTACAGTTAATTTGATCTTTTCATTCGTTATATGTTAACAAATGAATTTTGTTCCTAAATGATATATATATATATATATATATATCTATAAATATTAGTTTGAAAGGAATATTAATAATATGTGGTGGCGTTTCAAGTACACTAAAAAATCTATCCTAAGGACATCACCAGTGAGTAGCTCTATATGAGGCTGGAAAAGTGGTGGATATAGTCAATTTTAGAGCTCCGAAGAATCTTTCGGGCTTTGTAAAAGAATATTTCCCAATAAGGGGCTATATCTTTCGGGCTCTATGTGGGGCTATATATATTTATTTATCTAGTAATTTGATTAAGCGATGATTTTTTTTATTTTTTTTGTGTTAGCTTTTCTTAAGTTGATTTTTGGACGTGTTATCTTAAAAAAAATTTATGAACCCTTCAACCTAAAAAGTTCAAATTGTGACAAAGTTAGATTTGATCACTTATGAATTGTTCGTTGGATTAGATTCCCTTATCTTAATCTCTTCTGTTGAAAGAAACAAACTCCCACTTCGTCCTTTGAAATAATTTGATTTTCACGTATAACACAACAATTTACTTAGCACCAATTGATAAATTAGTATCATACAATTTTGAAAAAAAGTTATTTGAAAATTTCACCCATCAATGCCCATGGACGTGAAATCAATTTGAAATTTTAATCTTATGGAATTTAAAACAATAATTAATTAGTCAAATTGCAAGAAAAATAAGTAAGAAAAAAGAATTAAAAAATAATAAGAGTAGAGTATAAGTGTATTCGCAATTGTAGGGAGAATGATAGAATTTTGCTCACATGGGTTGCTATTTTTTTTGTGGGATCTACTGTTTTTTAGAGCTAGATGTAGCCTGATTTTATGCTATCCAATAAATTAAAGGAAGTTGCTAGCTCCAGTTATGGATATAGCCCCATTTTCCAACTTATTGGAGATGAAATTTCTCGCTAAGACTAGAATTATAGTAGTATCATGAAGGATAAAGCTCTCATTAGGATGCTCTAACTTAAAAAAGTGTAACATGGCATTGCTACACAGAAAGCTAGACAGATGCTGTCCCACTGAAAAAGCTAGAAAAGATTCAAGCATAAAGATTGGGTGAAACGACGAACGAACCTGGGCACAAGTTGTTATGTGACCCCTTTCATAAGGTTCTGAATTTGTGCATCATACATGTGAACTTGTTAGACTTGGTCGGTCACTCCCAAATTCCCAATTAACTTCTTTCCTCTCTCATGTTGCAGACAAAGTTACAGACCTCAAAATATATGTACTTTTTCAGCTGGATAAGTCAGTTATGATCTCAACTGTAAGAAATAAATTGAATATTGCGATGCCGTAGTTGTTTCGGTATAATTACTTTGATGATCAAGTCAGTAAAATAAGAACGCGTATGTTAATTATAGAGAAATGATATATATAAAAATACGGAGGAAGAGAGTGGGAGGAACCGGTGGGAGGAGTGAACTGGCTATTTAGCAAGAAACAAATTTAACAAGAATATCACTTCGAATTACTTTTGGTGTTCATTTTATAAGTACCATTATGTACATATTTCTTTCACTTTCACGTATTATTTTTCTCATACAATTTTCTCTCTCTCTAACCAAAATTAAAATAAAATCATCAACAAACGAATTCTAAACAGAATATATCTCAAAATACTCTGAAGTATTGGCCGACACCACATCGGTGTCATTCAGTGCAAGGATTTTCAATTGAAGTTGATTTAAAGCATCAATCCCATGAAACCAAGTACCTCATTTGGGTAGCAGAATAAAGCTCTTCCACAATAATACCAATTAAACCATGTGGCTTGCTTAAACCAAACCCCGCGATGTAACCAACTAATTAACTAACGCAACGGTGTTCTTTCTTTTGTTCTTCAGACAAAGGTCATTGTCCCTTTGAATTTTGCAATAGTGCATGTAATTCCTATTCTCTATTTGTACCAATATAATCAGGTGAAGGAGAACCTTATTAGCGAACAAATTAAATCCGCAATAATATGAGTGTACACATGGTGTCTCGTACTGCCTTTGACTCCACTAATATGCTTCTACATGGCAAGAAATTTTTTAGTGTGGCCGAGATATGGAACAGTACATCACATGTCATTTAACACTTGGAGAGAAATTCTTCTTTTTGGAGTATCCCTCTAATTGTGTAACAAAATATGGCATAATATCCCAAGTTACAGACACACTAAAAAATCTTTACTACATGGCCCTTTGCATGCCTTTGTCTTGTGATTTTCGTTTCTTTATAGGCAATGATATTGAGAGTTATAGGTAGGGCTGAGTCATACAGTAGGAAAATAATAATTTGACATTGATTTTGCAGTTCTTGAAAGTTGAGTCTAAGACTTTCCACTTACAACTGAATACAAGTGAAATGGAATTTCAATAAAATGTAGTGCTAATGTCATGATACGATTTGAGATTGTGGCTTATCAGTTCGGATGGATAACATACAATTGGACTCATTTGTCACTTAATAAGATAAGAGTGAAACCACAGGTACCCGTTAAATGTTAAAAATAAGAGAGGAAGGCTGGTGTTATAGCAGAAATCAAGCACTTTTATGGCCATTCTCACCCGAGTTCTGAGATTTGAGATTTGGAACATAATCACATTCTCAAATGTGCGAGAACATTTTGGTGCATTCCACCTTTGCAGTCATCTTCTCCTTCAAGAGGTTGATGTAAGGTTATTTTGTTTTGTAGTGTTTCCCCCCCCCCCCCCCCCCCCGATAATTAGGGGAAAAATCACCCGGCAATGATGAGATGAAATGACACTAAATTAACTAAATTGTGAGAAATTAGACAACTGCAAAAGAAAAATATGCGCCAATCATACGATGCCACTGGAGCAAAGTTCCAGCTATTTTCCTAATAAAAAGACATCTTTGCCGTGTTATGGACACACTAAAAAATCTTTACTGCATGGCCCTTTGCATACCTTTGTCTTGTGATTTTCGTTTTTTATATACAACGATATTGAGAGTTATATGCAGGATTGAGTCATACAATAGGTAAATAATAATTTGATATTGATTTTGCAGTTCATGGGAGTTGAGTAGAAGACTTTCCACTTATAACTGAATACAAGTGAAATGAAATTTCAATAAAATGTAGTGCTAGTGTCAAGATACGATTTGAGATTGTGGCTTATCAATTTGGATAAATAACGTACAATTTGACTCGTTCGCCACTTAATAAGATAAGAGGAAACCACAAGTACCTGTTAAATGTTAAGAATAAGAGAGGAAGGCTGGTGTTATAGCGGAAATCGAGCACTTTTATGGCTATTCTCACCTGAGTTCCGAGATTTGAGATTTGGGACATAATCACATTCTCAAACGTGCGAGAATGTTTTGGTGCATTCTAGCTTTGCAGTCATCTTCTCCTTCAAGAGGTTGATGTTAGGTTATTTTGTTTGTGGTGTTTTTTCCCCCGATAATTAGGGGAAAAACCATCCGGGGATGATGAGATGAAATGAAACTAAATTAACTGAAATTGTGAGAAATTTGACAACTGCAAAAGAAAAATGTGTGCCAATCATACGCTGCCACTGCAACAAAGTTCCAGCTATTTTCCAGATAAAAAGACATCTTTGCTCAACAACTTAGACATTTTTAGTCATTTCACAACACTAACCTCATATCTAATCGGATCAACTTCTCACTATTAAAATTAACTTAAGATTAATGTTACGGAAACTAAATTTATGCATTAAATTTGTGCTATAAATGATGTGATGCTTATTAACCAAATTCCATGTGAATCAAATTTAACTGACACATCAAATCCATTTGACGCACAGCTTTAATACAAAAATTTGGGTGCCTAATCTTATTCGTAAAATTAGAAATTAAAAAAAAAAAAATTTCTTCCCGTGATAGTGTGAGTCAGTGATAGCTGACGCTCACATTGCTTTGTCTCTTTTTTGTGCATGAATTCCTCATAAATAGACCCTCAGCTGATCATTTGGATCCTCCCACCTCTCCCTCCACCGCCACCACCACCACCTCCTCCACCCTCACTTCATTTTCTCACACAGCATTTGCCATTTGCAGACTCTGTTTCCGTGTGAGAAAAAAAAACCCAACATTCTCTGCCATTCAAGATTCAAAACCTTTTCAACAAAATCCTTATGGCTACTCCAATTTCTTACCACTTCACCTTCATTCTTCTAATCGTTACCGAAGGTAAAAAAAGACACAAACTTTTAATAAATCGAGCAATTTTACCACCTGGGTTGTTTTTCCATTTTCTCAATTCAATAGAATTATCACTAATCTATACATTTGTCTCTGTTTTTTTAGGGGTGTTAGGGGCCACATTCACGTTCACAAATAAGTGTGACTTCACAGTATGGCCGGGAATTCTAGCCAGCGCCGGCAGCAACAAGCTCGACAGCACCGGGTTCGAGCTTCCCAAAGGCAGTTCCCGCGTTTTCCAAGCCCCGACCGGCTGGTCCGGTCGCTTCTGGGGCCGAACCGGCTGCACCTTCGACGGTTCGGGTCAGGGTTCTTGTTCGACCGGGGACTGCGGCTCGGGAGAGCTCGAGTGCAACGGTGCCGGAGCCGTGCCACCGGCCACCTTAGCCGAGTTCACACTCGGCTCGGGTTCTCAAGACTTCTATGACGTCAGCCTCGTTGACGGTTATAACTTACCAATGACCGTTGAGGGGAGTGGGGGATCGGGTGCGTGCGCGTCCACCGGGTGCGTTACGGACCTCAACCGTAGGTGCCCTGCCGAGCTCAAAGTCAAGGGTGGCGGCGCGTGCAAGAGCGCGTGTGACGCATTTGGAAGTCCAGAGTATTGTTGCAACGGCGCGTACGGTTCACCGTCCACATGCAAGCCGTCCATGTACTCGCAGTTGTTTAAGTCAGCGTGTCCGAAATCATATAGCTACGCTTACGATGACGCTTCGAGTACATTTACGTGTATAGGTGCTGATTATACGATTACATTTTGTGATTCTCTTACGTCAAGGTAAGTACTTTAATTTTTTTTAACAATGTTACATGTTATGTTGTTCAATTATTAGTTTTCAATCCACAGTAATCAATTTTAACAATTTGCAAAATATGCTTGTAATTGACATTGATTTGATTCCGGAATATGTTTTTTGGCAGCCTAAAATCTTCAAGAGATTCGGGGTCGAGGTCGGGGTCGGATTCCGGGTCGAACCCAATAGGTTCTTCATTGCTAGCTGATTTGGCCAGCGGAGATTCAACCAAAACCCAACCTTCCATTTCCATAGCTCTTCAAAGTATGTTGATTTTGGTCATCACTTTGGCTCTCACATTTCGACAGTTACATTAGCCAATCATGCTCCAAATGGCCCAGTGGTTCGCATCCTCGAGAGAGAAACTTACATACAACCGAGAGACGCCAAGGTGGCGGTAGTCATGAAGAAAGTCGACATAATCAAGGATTGTAAACCACCCACATCCAAACCCCACAATATTGATGTTCGATACACATACACGTATTAATTTATAAAGCAAAAGCAAAAGCATTTGTTTAGAATTAAAAATGTGCTTCATTTCCTCTATGGAAAAAAATTCTTTACCACGACCGCCTTTCTTGTTGTAGGGGTCTACAAATATTTTTAGGTCCAAACGTTCTTTTTTGTGATAGTACGACGGTCACATAGAAGAATTACTCGTAACCTACCACCACATAACCCAATTACGCAAACACTTTTCAGTGTGAACATTTAGCACGACGAATAGGCGTGTGCGATGAGCATTGATGAATTGACAGCAAAAGAGGTGGGTGTAGGGGTCTACCATTCTGATCATCATACCTGAAGCCAAAAAGAAGATAATGTGATTTCAATCAGTAATGGCAATTCTGAATGATTCATCTTCTCTCTCGTTACGATTACCAACAAGATAAGCAAACAAGCCGAAAAATGCCAATGTAAGTAGGTTCCATATTGCCGCCCTATGACGGTGATTTCCTTCGAGTTTCACATCCTGGATGTATATGTATACAAAAAGATGATTCTTCAATAATTTCTGTGGGGAAACCCCCCAGAGCAAGCAATACAAAGACAGAAAAGAACCACTTTTTCCCTAAGATAAGACGATTGATACCTGATCATGACTGCGGTCCATTTTCAAAGATGATTCGTAATCCATCTTTTTCGACATTTCTCCAATTCAAAAAGTTGTGTGAACGAATACACTACAAAAGAACAGACATAAAAGGGAGCGAGGAGGGCAAATGGATAAAACGGGAATGCAAAAATCACCATCCGCAGAAATGCAAATTTGTTACTGGTGGGATGATGAAGCTAGCAATGAAATATATTTTACTCAAGTACCATATATTGGGATCACCATCTTAAGGGACACCCCTCCCAGTGACGCCTATACCTATTGAGAACAATATATATTTTGCCATCTAATGTATTTTATCAGTTCTTGCATTAATCAGTGTTGAAAGTTAAGGCAGTTAGGAACTAACAGAAGGAAAACATTAATTCGTTATAAAATTTAAGCGATCAAACTAACAAGAGGAAAACAGTTCAAGGTAGAGCAAGAGTATGAGAACCACGGTATTATTCAAAATAAAATGCTAATATATCGTTCCCAAAATTGCACCCTATTGCCGAATCATGCATTATAATCAATCAATGGCAATGCTCACGAATTTTTTATTACTTGTTCGGAGAAGTTGTGCACTGCAAACTTGAGTATACTTTTCGAGCTAACAAGTAAAATTTCAGATAAACAAGTGGCACTCGGAACCAACCAGCGTAAAGCAATAGTGAAAGGAGAATAGAGATAGACTTATCTTTAGAAAAGCTTTGGATTTGATCCAGGACATGTCATCTTTACACTCTTCAGACAAGCCTTCCTCCTTTCTGTGAGCCTGCAGTGACATATAACTTCAAAGCAAACAAGTAATCTCCCACACCTAATATATGTTAGTTTAACCGATCCAAAGAGCATATCGCTTTTGACATTGTTCAGCTGCGTCCCTTACTGTCCATGTCGTTGTTTAGCCATGGACGGCTATATTTTAAATCTGATAATGTGACTAGATGCTCAAATAAAGATAAGGAATCTTCAGACAAAAGTTTCGAACTTTCAGACCTTGAGAATGGGAAATCAACAATATATAATATGAATCATGAAAAGAAATCTCATTCTTCCATTACAATTGGTAAACTATAAATCTGGCAGGAAACATAGACTTTAAAAGGAAATCACAATTATTTTACATCAACCAACAACGGTAATGCTGTTCTTTCCATTCCAATTGGTAACTACAAGTCAGGGAGGATCAACACAATGATAAGGAAGGAATACGCCGTTTAAGTGCCTACGGATCTGTATCCACCACCATTTTCAGGGGCCAAACTTTGGCTGTACATTGCATTTCCCATTCCTAATGATAACAAAAACAATTCACACACGCAATCCACGCTGCCAGAAAAAACTGACACCCTACAGGCAAAATCTATATTGCCTGAAATATGTGCAGCTGGTGAAGGAATATGGGTTCAAAAGTTCATACTGTAATCCTGATCAATAAGGGATAGCAGTGATCCTTTTGATAGCTGGGCCAGGAACCATCGCCATCCAAAAACTCCTCATGATGCTTCCAAATTTCTGCATCATAATTCTCTGTTATGCTAAAGTGCAAACCACATTCTTTGATTGCTTCTAAGAACTTGTCTAAGGAGTCACCCCTTTTAGGACTGAAGAATATAGCTTCCGAGGATTTCACTTTTCCCAGCAGGAATTTGAGAATTTGAGCAAGTCCATTGTGGAATTCCTTAAAGAAAGTGCTGTGAATATGACATATCAAGTTAATGAATATAAACAAGATAGAGCATAAAGATTTAACAACGTGTTAGGGTGCATTTATGTTACATAATTATTACAAGTGCCTCTTGTCATTTAGTGAAGAAAACCAAGAGGTTAAGTTTCCCCAGGTCAACCAAAATTGCAACCAACAAACAACTTTTCCCCACCAATAACCTCCCAGACTCATTAAAAAGTATTACTTAAAAATAACCAAAGAGGAATCAACAATATCCATTCAAGAATAATGGGTGGTCTGCTGCAAAGTTGGGCCTATCATGACAACACCATAGCACCAAATCTAAATTTCATGTCTTTCAGATGGAAAGAAGAGATCCTTGGGCAGTGCATAGAACTTGGCACATAAGTTGAGGTAACTATGGCACATAATCTCCATCCAGATTCAATGATTCTCTCCCTTCATTTAATGAAAAGGGCAGAAAATGATGTGGGATTGCACATGTTAATGAAGAAACTTCAACGAAAGAGGAACATACCAGTCACTAGCAACAATGAGATCAAATTCGCTAGAGATGGTAGAAATTTCGTTCTGATTCCAATGCAACATCATGGACTTCACTTTTGTACCACCAAATGCTTTAGAGTTTGCATCAATATTGTGCTGAATATCTAAACATTAAGGAATCTGTACATAATGTTTACAATTGACCAAGAAATAATCTGGTTTCAAATTATCACAATAAGAGAAATAAAAAAGTACGTACTTCCAAATGTTCTTAAAAGAAGGAGGGGGGGGAGTCTATTTACAATTAATGGTTCTTTGATGACATAACACAAATACAGAACCAAAAACTAAAAATAAAGGACGTGTTCATGTTTGAAAACATTCCAAGACAGACCATGTTCATAGTTCAATGATGCAATTAGGATACAATTTACTACTTGTGGATTCCCATCTGAAATTACAACTTCTGATGCCTCAGTAACAGCTGCAATAACGAAGCCGCCTAAGCCATAGCCTGACCCGAGCTCAAGTACTCTTTTCGACCTAGAAAAATGCAAGGCAAATGCAAATATATCACACAGAAGAAAAATGAACACTGAAAGTTGCACCAAAATGTTGAAACAGCCAATACAGAAACTTCAAGACCAAACGAAAATTTCCAAAAGAGCAGTGCAAGGCATAATTTGTAAACCTGAACATGTCCGTGTGAGTCAAGCAAAAATAAGCAAGAACCTCTTCCGACGGCCACTGACCTGCACAACAACATGAACAACATATATTAAGCCAAAAGCTTGCTCAAAATTACAGAACCAATAAAATGTGCAGTCAAATTGCACAAAGAGGAACTTACAAACAAGCCCAGTGTTGTCAATATTGTACTCATTACAAATCTCAAAGTCACTGAGCTCAGCTCGGTCAACCACTCTTTGACTGCTCCAAAAAGTAACGAAATTCAATCAAAGCCCACAAAAATTCAATAAAAATTTTCAAACTTTCGCATCACTGTATCAAATTTCAAAAATCCCACATCGAGAAAATCAAAGATCTATCTCGGTTTTGCAAATGTAATTTCGAGCATCATATACTGACACGAAAGATTCGAGCTTGGTGCAGCATTTGAAACAAAGATTGAAAGCTAACTCACGTGAGGTGAAGCTTGGGGGCAGAGTCGTCGGGCAAGGTGTAGCAGACGGTGACGTCGCCGGAGCGAGATGATGGGTCGTTGGCGATGTGGGATGGGATCAAGTTGAAGCCCTGCGTCGTCTTCCTCGTGATTTTCTTGACGCCGATTTCGGATTGCGAATCTTCTCCTGCATTTCACAGTATTAAATAAAAACTCCATTTGATCAGAAGAGAGAGAGAGAGAGAGATAGAGGCACCGGTGGGTTTGCGGAGGAGAGCTTGACGGAGAATTTTCCACCGGAGAGAGGAAGCTTTGACGGTTGTTTCCATTGGATTCAGTCTCTGCAGCTCTGTCTGCGGGCACTTCAGCCAGGCGGTTTGGTACGGATTAACGGAAGATTGTGCGCAATATTTGGCGCTCTCTACGGCGCCGTTTCGGTTGCCTTGAGATTGGATCCATAGATTGGGCTGTGGTTCAGGTGGGCCCAATTCTAAGTATGGCCCATATACAAGCCCACACCACCCAAAAGTTTTTGTTAGTAGTATATTTCACTGATCCGAATCGTCTAATTTTTTTGTACTTTCATTTCATTGACTACTATGAAATTTTATGATTAGAATCAAATGGGCAAATAGTTTTCGATCGAGCTAATTTCTTCCAAGAATAAATTATGAACTGAGACTTATAAAAAAGATAGCTTAGATTGTTGTATGGAAAGCGAAGTGGATTCGCATAACAATTCTCATTTCTTGAAAAGTCTTTCTGAGTGCAGTGCAAATACTCTTAACCACTTTAATTACAAAGACACTCGCTGTTATAGTGTCGCTTCAACTCATTTATCTCCAAATCACAAAAACAAAACAAAAAAACATAAATGTTTGTTGCAAAACTAAAAATTGAGGGTTCAAAATCTGTACAACGAAATCAACATTTACAAAAAATAAAGGGGAGTTTGAAGCTACTGTGGTTTCTTGCTCTCACAAATCTTGGCATAAACATGCTTTGTCCTAAACGCCAGCAAAACGTCCATTGCAAGCCCAAACATGCAAGCAACTGCCATCACAACAAACACAAGCATGTAGCAGTGGGACCCAACGCAAGTGGTCCCACCTCCACTAGGGCTAACTGTGGCTTGAGAATCGTAGACAATGCCAGCAAGCAAGCCAGAGAAGAGGAAGGAGCCCAAGGGAAGGTTGAGGATGAGAATGTTGTACAAGAGGCCATAGTATTTGAGACCAAATAGCTCCGAGGCAACTGGAACTGTTATGGTGAGGAGGACTCCGTAACCCATTCCGACTAGACTCGAGCCGATATGGAAGGAAGCCGGCAAGGCCGACGCCATGGATATGAACCCGAGGGCCATTAGAATCTCGGAAGCTGCATTCCAAAGTGGCCTAGGGGCGGCTGATTTCCTGAAAATAGTGAAATTAGGGTTAGCACATTTTCGGAACCCTAATCGAGTATGTTACTCTTTAACTTGATTACATAAGTACGGAAAAAGTGTTTAGTAATGGCTACTAGTCTATAGTATTAGGTAAACTGTTATTATGTGGTTGATAGTTGATAGTTGATACTATGCTAATAATATCGACAATGTATCAGGTACTGTAGATTGGTATCCGGTACCAGTTAAGTACATCAAACTATCTTTATATTATTGAAACAGTTACTTTAATAACGCTTTAAAATTAGAAGAAACATACCCGATATAGTATTCTGAGACTAGGCCGGAGACTATGCGTCCAAAGAACCCCCAAATGCTAGTAAGTGACACAAAAATGGAGACATCATAGTAGCCAAGAGCAAGTCCCATTTGAGCCATGTTGTTCATGACACACATTCCAGTCCCTACACCACAAAGAAACGACACAAAAAGTATCCAAAACTCAAGTGTTTTTATCATTTCAAAAATGGTATGGTCTTCCCCAATCAAAGGTTGTCTCTTCACCGCAACATCATCCACCTTAATGCCTGCACCATTAGAGTTCTGCATCTCTGGCTTCACAATCGGTCCGACTTGAGCAAGCAAAGGTTCCTTAATTTCTTGTTCTAAATCGTGATGAGAATTGGGTTTGAAAAGCAAAGTGTACATAGGTACACACAAGGGAAAAGCTAGCAGGAAAAGAAGTCCAACAGAAAATATCAAAGAGAGATCATGGCCGTGCTTTCCAGACATGTCAAAGGCCAAGAGATAGATAGCCACGAAAACCGCAATTAAATCAAAGACATGGAAGAACTTGGCTTCTTGTTTTATCTCCGGTAGAGTGGAAGCCGGCGGGGTTTCCTTGAGGAAAAGGGTAGCTATGAGGCAGATAACAGCAGGGACTACGGCAAGCATGAAGAGAAATTTGGAGGGATTGGATGAGAAGAGAGCTGTGCATAAATCTGTGAAGATTGCTGTGCTTAGCCCTACATACCCTTTGAGGATTCCTGAGACCGGACCGCGGTTTTTCGTGAAATTTCTCATGCATGTCACTAGCACTGCTGTGTTCATCCATGTTGTACTGTTTCCTCCCATGCACATAAATATGCACATCTGCAGCCAGAGTAGAAAATCATTTCAAGAACCCGTAAATAATATATACGAAAATAAAAAGCAGTTCAAATGAATGTAAATGTTCTTGCATATAACCAATCTCGAGTTTAAGATGTTGAAATTGACAATTTGACAATGCAAACACGACAGATTGCGCAATAAAATTGAAATTAATAGTATGACAACATAACATAACATATTACATGATAAGAGAACATAAAACCTAAATGTCGAATTGACAATACCTGCCAGTAGGGAAGAGGGCTGATTCTCTGACTAACAACCAGCCATTGAACTCCATATCCAATGAGGCCCTCCAATGCTCCGACAATGAGGATGGCGGAAGTCGGCAAACGATCGGAAGCAAGGCCGGATAACAACCCGAATGCCTTGCCAACATCTTTAGCAACGGATAGAGTGTTGAGTTGAGTCTGGGAGAGTTCCATCAAAGATTTTAGGGCACCAGAATAGTTGGAAAATGTGTAGTTGTTGCCGCTGATGGCTTGAACCCAAATGGCTGTCACAAATCCCAGCCATTTTCCGGCAGGGGAAGCGAGAAATCGCGACGGAAAAAGCATGGTTAAAAGTAATCAAGGGAAAGAAAACTCCGATTAGATTTTTCAGACCAAATGTGTTTGTTTTGGTTAGTTTTGTCCGAGGATTCTGGTTCTGCTTGACGAAGTTATTTATAAGTTTGTTTTGCCTTCATTAATTGGCTTTATTAAATTATTAATAACTAAAACAAATGTTTAAACATATCTGTTTGGGTTTTTAGTCCATGGTTTTACAATTCCGGGACTGATTAATATTAATGATATATGATTAAATAAAATAATACCAAATTTAATCATGTAATGTCGGATTCATCAAGTGGATGGAGAGGACAAAAAGGACATTTCAAAATCCACGGGAGAGATTAGAGCTAAAACCATCACATAAACTAGGTGAACCCCTGGATCAAAACCGCCTGTTTTTTCTGTAATCCTTATTTGGCCCAGGCGGCAATAATGTATTTGGACTTCCAAACCAATCTCATTTTGGATACGACTAATCGGATAAACGTAGTTGGACTTCCAAACCAATTTCATTTTGGATAGGACCATAAACGGTCATCATGGTGATAAAATAATCGTGAGATAGTCTCCGTACTAAAAAAATAAATAAATTAGGATTTAAACTCTGATGGTGTAGTCCGTTAGCAACTTTAATCTAAAAGTTTTTTTTTTTTTTCATTAATTGTCTGTTAAATGTAGGGATAAATGTCTTTTAAGTGTGTACCTTTTTTTTCGTCGTTGAATCCACTTTAGAACTTATTATTCAAATAAAATAAAAAATTTCCGCATCAGTTGGTAACTTAAAAGTCATGTCTCTAGTTTTATTAAACTTGTAAATGGCAAGTCAATATCACTATTTCTAAGCAAAATGCTCTCATTCATGCATAGCAAAATGCAGCTTAAATTAGAATTATCGCTTGCAATAAAACATGAATTGACTTTTTAACAAATGATATTATCTACACTAAGGGTCTCACAATTGATTAGCAATAATATGGTTCAAATTCACCTTGAGGGGAATCGAACCAAAGCCTCACAATAGATTAAGCAAAAATGAATTGATATATGCTATCAAATAATCAATAAACAATAGTTATTACACAAGTTATTTACAGTTCTACCCTAAGCGCACAATTATGCATATCAAGCATACAACTTTTCTTGCAGCAGGGGGCATGTTTTAGCTACAACTCATTAGGCTGTTGAGGAAGAAGCCAAAGGGCAACCATCTGGGCTGCTTCCCCACCATTTGAAGCTAACATGTTCCATCCCCAGACACAAGTACAAAAGTACCCCCATAAACGCTAATCCGGCATCCAGAGCTCCAGATAGCACGTAGTTGTGGCGACTCCACAAGGCGCGATAATACCTGTAAGCGATAAACCCTGAGGCGAATCCAATGAGAATCCAGCTGGTGTAGTTGACAGCAGTAGCCGGAGGCATGTTAACTGTTGCCCCAAAGAGCACCGGCATGGTGATAAGTTTAATCCAATGTTTGCTTGGGAAGGCCTTGTGAGCAAGCCAAACTGGGACAGGAGCTATAGCACCAGCTAAGAAAAACCAGTTGATGGCGGAATAATGGCCAAGATTACCAAAGATTCTGCGAGGCCCGACAAGACCCCAAATAACAGAAGCATCATAGAAGACATGGTCGCCCGGGCAAGTCCATGGACTATCTGATGGTAGTAACGCCCTATCACATATGTCTGGGACTGTGCTCATAAGCCACCAGGCAGTTCCTAGATGGACAATCGCTGCTATAATAGTACCAACTACCTGAAAAGAAATTTGATGAAACTTGGTGAGTATTTTTTGTTCCCGAACATGTTTGAGAAGAGAAAAACACAGGATGCTAACCTGTGCCATGAACATTGCTCTGGGAGGAATTTTCATATAGTGCCCAAGCTTGAAGTCTTCCAGGAATGCGATGGCCTGCTTCATGCTTATGTATCCATAAACTTTGAACAATATGTTGGCAACTGGATATCCTGGATACAGATACCCGATGATGTACTCTGTGATCACATTCAACGCTGGCGCCTGTTCGGAAATGAAAAGATTGTTAATGCTAGAGAAATAACAATGCAAAGCTAGAAAGAAGTGTGCGACAAAATATTGGATGACATAAGTGGATAGAAAGGTAAATAACATCCTAACTCAAAACAAAAAAAGCAGAATATGAGGAGCGCGATACTACACCTGATTTGTTGTGGCATTGATGACTCCGATAGGAAGAGTGAAAAACAAGGCAAGACCACAAGCAAGCAAGACACCCCACCATTGCAGTTGTAGTTGATAATTGTAATAATGGCAAGTAAATAGGGTTGCGGTTATGTTAGCCAAAAGGATGCACATGAACCACCATCCAGGAACTTGCTTATATTTTCTCATGAGCTTTGTGTGCACATCCATCTTGTTCTCGTTGATGGCAGACTTGCTTAGCTGCCAGATGTCTCTGCACGCTCGATACAATAAGGCTTTGTGAGCAAAATGTATAACAATATATAAGCTATTTCACCGTAGGATTGATATCACTGCACATTTATTGATGCAGAACCCGAGCTTAAGTGAAGAATTCTAATACAACTTATGGAAAATTTGCTTTAGAAAATATTGAAAAGACAGCAGCAGTTGAATGTGAAAAGTGTCACTTACCTCCCATTAAAGAGGAGAACATGAACAATAGTGGCAGTAAGGCAGGCAAAATTGATGCCATAATAGATAGCAAAGAAGGTGCTCATATAGAGGGGGCCCTCTCGCTCGTATGCATTAATGTCAAGGCGGAAGTTGGAATCTATAATAGCTGATATATTGTAGCTTTGGCCAGTAGATGTGAACAGATCATCCGAGAATATGGGAAAAGTTTTGGCATTATACACATTGAGCCAATAAGTCACAGGAGTAATGACATACATCACAAGGAAAAAACCAGCAGCAATATTGGCAGTAGCAAACCACGGACTGGCAAGTGGGCTCCCGAGGTAAGAGGATATACTTGACCAATCGAGGCCAATAGCACCGATGCCAAGACCGTGCAGTCCTGAACCGAGCTGATGAGCCAGGATGGAAGTAGGGAAAATCCAGCAGATCCAGGAAAGGGAAGTTAGCATTGGGAATAAGTAACCGGGAAGGACATAGTAAGCGAAGCTGCAAGTGAAGGCAATGAGGAAGAACTGGTTTCTTGTTAATCCACCCTTTGGCCTCTCTTCTTTCTCATGCAGTGCCCTGTAAATACATAACATGCACACAAACCACATAGACCAGTCATGATTCATGACTTCCTCAACATTCTCGTTTATACTACTTAAGTGAGAGGCTGATGGTCTTATAGTATTACACTAAAAACCAACTGCAAAGAAAAATAGGCAGCAAGAATTACACAATCTCGGATCTTGAAAAAGCACCTTCTTTAATTTCTCGATTCCATTCTGAAAATATTCTCTGAAAACGTTACCAGGCAAACTCCGGCCCGTACATTTTCCTTACTATAGTAACTTCTATTGTAATTTTTCCTCTAATTACTTAAACCAGCATGTTTTGATACTTCTAGTATCAATCATCACAACTAATAGGTAATTAACAATAGCTTGTTAATTATAGACGGAAGCATAGCTGTGAATGAAGGATTACTCGAAAAGTTAAGGATTAGTAATCTTTTTTAGAAATCGAATGGATATATTGGATAGAGCGGATAAAGACTTATATGCATTTCAGTTTAAGCTTGTATTAAATAAATAAATACAAGAGTTATAAATTCATGGAAACCCTAAGCTACTATAAAAGATTTTAAAAGAGTTATAAATTCATGAAGTTCAATGGATTTCTTAATTGATGGAGTTTAATGGCGTTCCATAGACTCTATGTTAATTTTGGGTGAAATTATTAAAAATCTTAAGATGCGTAAAGCCTAAAAAACACTATAAAATCCCTAAAGATCTATTAAAATCATGTATTTTTAAAATGCTTCAAATCAAATCCTAATTTAATACATAACAAGTTTTATTACCTACTTCAAAATTAAGAATTAATACACTCAAATTTGTATACAGTTTTATAAACTCTTTTAAAATTTTGATTAATACCCATGACTTCCATAAATTCATTTAAGATCTTAATAAACTCTTAATTGAAAACACCCCTACCTAAAGGCCCAAGACAAGGCGTACTACTATGAATAGGATAATGCTATTCACACGTTCATTTTTACTTCCAATATACTTTTGTTAATTTTTTATCATTGATTTTCTTTAATGCATCCGATTCAACAATCAAGAATTGAAAATAGATACGAAAAATATGTCTACGAATAATAAGCAAGTTGGTTACGTAGACTAACAATTACATGCGCCATTAATGAAACGACACGTGGATAAAGAAATCAGGCGAGTTTACCTGAAGAGCGAAACCTGAACGAGATTTTGAGGCCACCACATTGCGGCGGGCTCCACCAAGTACCGCCGGAACAGCCCGGCCCACCCGAACCCCAGCACTTGAGTAGTCAAAACTACAAGCAGCGCAACGAAAAACGACAGGTTCTTCTTGTAAAAGATCTTAACCGCGCTCACGATATGGATGGCGTAGACGTTCCCAGCTCCGGAGTTGGCGAAGATGGTGATGAGCACGTGCTCCTTCACATTGAAGGGTCCCGGATTGAACGTGAATTCCCATTTTCGCCCCTTGAAGAAAACTCGATCCGTGATCAGCGACGCCATGAGGTGGCCGAGCGGGACCACCGCAATCTGAGCGGAGATCGAGGTGAGCGAGAGGGGCTCGCGGCGGTACCAGAAGAACTGGTTGAGGAAGGAGAGTAGAACGCACGCGAGGGCCCCCAGCGTCCACGTCCGGAACGTGACGGTAGAGAGGGAAGGATCGTCGGTGACCGGAACGGTGAGGGCGACTTGCTCGATCGGAGAGTTTTCGTCCGCCGGCGGCGGAGATGAGGCGGAGGCATCGGATTGAGTCTTCGGAACTGCGGCGATAACAAAATGGAGGGAAATTAGTGGAATTAGAAATGTAATTTGGGCGAAAAAGAAGGAGAAACTTGTAATTTGAGCGTTTGCTTACTGAGAGGAGCTGCGATTTCGTGGCCGCTGCTGCCGGTCATCTGCTCCTCCTAGCGCTAAAGGAGAATATGAAACGTGGACGTTTTGATTTCCGAGAAGCAAGGATTTGAGGCTTTTTGATCGGAGCTTGTGTGTGGGTCTGTGTAGCGATATTCTGGGTTTGACTAGCAATTCTTGAGAGACGTCAGCGGTGACCTGGATTTACCGACGAGTTTGTCCTGAAGCTTTTTGGAGGCTTGCTAATGATGCAACGTTATAAAACGACAGCGTGTTGGTTTTGGATACTGAAGTATGCATATGTAATTACGTCGGATGAATCTGTACAGATTTCCGGCGCAGTACATTTTCTGATTCAGATTCAGTCTTTATTAGTTTATATAACAAATAAACACGTACCAATTAGTTGTTTGTGGGGGTGGGTGGTACATTCCACTTGTTATATATTAATTAACGCACGCAGTGTACGTATCTAAATGCGCCCTCCAAACATTATTGGTAGGAACGAAATTTTTTTTAATATGATTGTCATACGAGGTGGTACATTACATGTTTTTATATATTAATTAATGCATGCAATGTATGTATCTAAACGTGCCCTCCAAACATTATTGGTAGAAATGAAGAAATTTTTCAATGTGACCATCACACAAGAGGTGGTATATCACGTATCTATATATAAATTGTGGGTTATGTGTGTTAAAATGTTAATAAATTAAAAATTTCCACCACTTGTATAAAAACATATGGTATACCATCCGTGTTCCCGTTACAACTAAAAATTTCTCATAGGAATGGGCTTGAACTAATCTGGTTTGATTTAAAGAACTTTAACGAAAAGTTTCCGATGCTGTTTACTTTAACGAAAAATCATATTTTTATACTAAAAAATCAATCATATATTATTTCACTTTATCATTTATTTTATCCTTATTGTTAAAGCTCAAAGTTTTCAAGTCATTTTCATTAGTTTTCTTTTGATTTTTAATCCTCAAATAGCAATCAAGTTAATATTAACATTACATTTTGGCTTCGTATAGTTTTGGAAGTCTTCAATAGTCCAGACTATTAGATAATCCAATTTTATAACCATTAGATTGACAAGTAAGCAAAAATAGAGTGTATTTTTTTTTTATTTCAATTATGATCATTCATTTTCCGTGATTATTCATTTTCCGTATTGAGTAGTCTACACTGTTAAAAAAAATTGTCATTTAGGTCTTAAACTAGTAACATAACAAAGCCTTACCGATTATCGTCTGGCAGGATCTAGTAGTATCTTGACAAGCCTGACCGATTTGGTATAGTTCTTCTACACTATCCGGGAAAAATACATCAACAAAAATTTTAATTGCACAAAAAGAGATGAGTTTCGTGACTAATGAACTAGCTAACTTAAGTTTGTCGTATTCTCTTGGTCCAGTTTATTTTGATCAAGCTCTTGCATATTGTCATAATATATTTGTGTCAGACGCTGATGGAATCTCTAGATCTCGTGATGTTTTGCTTTTTTTTTTTTTTTTTTTTTAAAGAAGATTCGATAGTTGGCTGTTTTGGTATTGCTGTGCTTTGAAAAAAAAAAAAACTGCTTGAGCTATGCTATAAGAATAAGCTCATTTTTACTATTTCACGTTTTCAGTTTTTTTTCACCTAAAACTGAGATAGGGTGGTTCCTCGAACCAATTTCATGATGTTTTGCTTTAGTTTCTCTTTGTTGGGCATGGAGCCACATTTATTTACCAAAAAAAGGAGGGGAAGAAAACTGAAATGCCATTTGCCTTGCTAGAACGAAATGTTCACTGCTTTTTTGTGATTTCTTTCCACTGGAAAGAAATATAAAGAATACAGCATATATGTTGGTCGTAATTGTGATCCTCTCCCAATGGTTGTCTGAACTATTCAGCAGTGCAAAGAAACGAAAAGAAAATGCAGTACAACTAAAACTTGATCAAATGGTCAATTTCGAGAACTTTGCGACAAACAGTCCGCTCGTTTTTGAAGTCACGGGATCGAAGCGCAGGGTATTTGGTACTCGCCCGTTCTTGCACGGCCAATTTTCAGCAGCATCTATCGCCTGCAACTCTGCGGAATAAGAAGGAACCGATGAACCACAAGGATATAAGCGTATAAAATGATACGATTATACTCTGATGTAATGATAAATTGTTCATAGAGTACGAACTAGAGATGCAAGAGCTACTCGAGCAAGAAAAAGTCGTAGAAACAACTTCAGCTCGTAATGTAGATAGTATGGGATTAACAACTGATTATGAGTCTGTCTAGATTAGCTATTGTTATCTGGTTTCTTTATGACGTTAAAAATGTAACGAAAAAACAAAGTACTTAAACCATCACGTCAGGTAAACTAATTTTGATTAGCCGTTCTGCTACAGGTAAAATGATACTTAATCGTTTAATACAGTCACCATACCCATAAGTTGCAGGCTGTAAAGTACTTAAACCATCACTAATGATATTACAAAGCACAAAGGACTTTACCTGCACAAGGATTTCCCTCTAGAAACTGCTTTACCACTTCTTCATTCTGAGCAACTGTCAAACTAATCAATAGAAAACGAAAATTAGCAAAATACAAGCGGATATCCTTTATGCGTAATGTCCTAAAGGTTAAAGGAGCAAACAACAGAAGGCACCTGCAAGTGCTATAAACAAGAATCCCCCCAGATTTTAGCAATCGAAAACCATTGGTTAGGAGCTTCAACTGCAAACCAAGGACACATATTTTCATCACTTTACTAAGCATTTTTATAACAGGGGACGATGCACAAGGAAGCTAGAATTCTGCCATTAAATGCACAAGGGAAAAATTACAATAGAGAAGTAATAATCATATATGAAGTAGCATAGTTCGCAAATACATTTGAGAGAAACTGAAATCAGATACCTGAAGCACGGTGAGGCTATCACTTCTTTCTGCATCCAGTACGCGACGTTGAAGAGTTTCCCATCCCCACTGTTCGAATTTCTGGACATGTTTAATTGATCCATCATGAGTGCACTCTGCATCCACTAGTACCTGAATAAACATCCCGCTTAACTTAGCAAACTTCAATGAAACTATAAATGACGTACAAAGAAATAACATAAAAGATATTGAAATGGTGTTAGTGATCGTCCACAAAAATACGGAAATAGAAAGAGTGTGAAGAGACCTGTAAAGGCGGGTTTAAATAACAAACCAAAATGCAGCATTACCTTGTCATAGCCGCAGCTCAAATATTCGCTGTCACGAAAAGTTTGGTACAATTCACTTTTAGTCAGTCCAACCACACCAGAGTGGCGGCCATAATAAATGAGCTCTGGAAGTTGATTCCCTGACCGAACGGCACCATTTTTTCTTACCCTAGCTGCTTCTTTCCTTTCTTTCCATGGTCTCCTAGATGTCCACTCCTTGAATGTCACATTTTCTTCCAAAATAGATTCACCTGCATAATTCTAGATGGAATGATAACATATTAAAAACAGAAACATGCTTGCAAATAGTATTCTTAAGATTTTCACTCTTTCACATATGATATGAAGCTTCAGGTATATGAGGATTCAGATCAGTTACATGATTTTGGATCTGAAAGAACTCTCGTGGGTACGAGGGAAAAAGTTGTCCCATCAGCAACAAATAGTCGGCAGAGATTGCCCAATGCATATTTCTGTAACATTGTCCTGCAGGCCGCTAAACGATGGCTTGAAACGTCAACACCAGTTATAGAACCCGAATTGCCAAGAAGGTCTGATATCATACAAAGCTTAGCACCTGACGATAGAACATACACGAGAAGAAAGCAAGGTGAGCCATTTGCAAAAAATAAGAGTCGTCATTGTAACAACCGAATCAGATTTCGCATATGAACATTGTCAAATACATCTCACACGGATTTAGTTGCGTTTACTCATAATCATAAACTGGTGTAAAGAGCTGATAAGTTTACACATCGTTACACATTAAGCATTGCATTTTACGAAATCAATTTACTCCCATTCGACGCAATCTACGATAGTAACAAACAGAAACAAGAAAACAACTTACCAGGAGCAGCACAAAGGTCAAGAACATGATCTCCAGATGAGATGTTCAATGCTGAAACAGCAGCACCAGACGCCGCGTCAATTCCATATATCTAAAACCCAAAATCCAACAAACAACAAACTCATAATCTTGCAATAAAAAATCGCAAAAATTGAGACTTTCTTGCCAGGAAAAGTAAACCCAACTGCTCAATTTCTCCCTCACCTTTCCCTCCCGGTATGCATTTGAGTTAGCAATCTGAACAGCCGGCGGAAGAGCATAAAATCCAGGCAACCATTCCACTTCTTCAAGCTTGCACTTGATCTCAGCTTCAATCTCTTCGATTCGATCTTCGAAACCGGGCTTCAGCCTTTCAATAATAACAAACAAAACCCAATTCTTTCATTACAAAAACACATGCAAAAAACAGCAGGGGCAAACATGCACAAATCAACAAAGGTCCAAACTTTTAATCAAAAATCGAACCGAATCACTAAACATACAATGAAAAAATCCAAAACGATACACACACGATTTATTGTCTATTTAATATCGTTTGTAATTAAATGTTTTATTAAAAGTTCGTAACCAGTTTTATTAACGTATATTTACCGAATAATAAATTTACGAAGAGAATTAGTACCTTATGTAACGTGGGGTCGATTGGCTCTCGTAATAAATCGAAGGGTCCAGCCCGTTCTCCTTCAGAAAATCGAGGAAGGCGTCCGGCAGCGCCGGCTTCGAAGCTGCTTCTTCTTCTTCTTCCATGAAATTCGCAGACAGATTCGAAAGCTGCAACTGAAAAATCAAGTCAGTGTTAAAAACCGAAGCTTTTTAACTCTGGCGGCTAATGGTTACTGATCAAAACGCAGCGATTTAGGTCAAACCCTAAACGACAGCGTATAGCTCGAATACAGTAGAAAAATACTGTTGAAAAGTTGGAAACTTGGCAATTATGCTCTCCATCTTCTGGGGTTTTTCAGTCTCGCTAATCTTACAAGCTCGCTGAATCGGTATGCCCCTTTATTTATTTTCAATTTCTGCTTTCGATTTTCGGTTTATTTAGTCACTAATTGCTTGAATTCATGAATTTCAATAAATTTTGATTATTTTTTTGTTAATTTTGTGTTTAATTTAGGTAATTTGGAGCTGAGAGAGAAAGAGGAAGATGAGGGAAGCCGTAGTGGGATTCTTTGTGGTTGTTTATTTTCAGCTTCTCCAACTTAGCTCAGCTAACATTGTTCTCCAACCATCTGAAATTCTTATCTCCGACCTTCCCGCCAAATATGGTAACTTTCCATCTTTTGCTGTTTGGTTGCTGAGAAAATGTGGGAAAACTAGTCTAATGAATTTCCTTCCTTGTGTCTCTTCAGTTAGCATCAGCTTTCGATTTTAGTTGAACACGTTTCGAAATTTTTCAGGTTTTCGTTAAGCTAAGGAGTCATTGATAACCGTTTCGAATATTTATTTTTCTTTTGGAAAGAAATGAGAAGTGAAAATCAAAACCAAACCAAATACCAAAAACTGAAATGGTTATCAAACGACCCTTTACTTAACGTAAAAAGTCGAAATGGGTTCAACCCAAATCAAATATGTTCGAAATGGGTTCAATTCAAATGCCCTTGAACAAGATTATATTTGGATGATCACTTTTAGTTTTAGACTAAGTACTTTTACTAATCATTGAAATCTGAATATTGTGATAGCTGTTGCTGTCGATGGCTCTGAAATATGTGGAGCTTTGCTTGTAGCAGACCCTTTGGATGCCTGCTTGCCTCTGCGCTATGGTTTTCGATCAAATGAAACTGATATAACAAGGTTTGCTTTAGTAGAAAGAGGTGAATGTACTTTTGAGGATAAAGTGCAACACGCTCAAAATGCTGGATTTCGTGCTGTGATTGTTTACGATAATAGAAGAGAAAAATTGGTTCACAGTGAGTCACCACGTCCCTTGAAATTTCCCTTGAAATTTCTGTTTACTTCTGTTATATTTGTGTTGCTCGATTTCATTTTGGGCTCCTCTTATGTTGTTGAAGATTGTATTGAGTCTACGTTGAGCTGTTATAATTTATAATGATTTCTGTCCTCTTTTATCAGTGACGATAAACAGCAAGAATGTCACAATTCGTGCCGTATTTGTTTCCAAAGCATCTGGTGAAATGCTAAAGGAACGTGCTCGTGGGGAAGAAGGGGAATGCTGCATCTTCGTATTACCAAATGAAAAGGCCTGGTCGGTGTTTGCTGTATCTTTCATCTCATTTCTAACTGTATTGGGTCTCCTTGTGATTGCCATCTGTGCTCAGAGAAACTGGGGCTGGTCCTACTCTCAAGGAAGAAACCAACTTCCTAAAAGTGCGGATACCAAGATTGTGGATGCTCTACCTTGCTTCACATTTAGTTCTGCTGGTTTGGATGAATGCCACACTGAAGAAACTTGTGCCATCTGCCTTGAGAATTACAAAGATTCCGAAATTCTTAAAGTTCTCCCCTGCCAACATGGTAAGTTATAAGATGTTCCCTCACATTAATATTCCTTGTATTTTCGTCATATTTGCGATGTCAGTTCCATCAAGCCACAAATGTTACTTTTGGACATCATAGTAGATGTTTGCCTCCTATCTTGATGATACCACAGAAGACTTTCAACTGGTCATAAATTACATTGTAGAAGAACTTGGGTTTGTAACGTGCTGAACTTTCGTACTGTGGACATGTGCAAGTTCTCATCAGAAGTATTAGAAAATGTGTCCAGTCTAAGAAGAAAGAACTTGGAGAAGCTGCTATTATCACCATGCTGTTAAATCCTAATGTTGGTCATAACTTTATAGGGTTAGGGACATGAAATGCCCATCATCATATTAGACAATTGACTTTGGCCTTAATCGAAAGGTTAATTGTTGTTTACATCTACTTCCTCACCTTGTCATTTGAAGTCTGTTGATATCTGTTAATCAGCTTGAGAGCTACTTGCAGAATTTCATTCAAGCTGTGTGGATTCATGGCTGAAAAAATGGGGGAGAAACTGCCCTGTGTGCAAGAACGATATAAGAAAGAAAATTGCGAATGCTGAGGTAAGAGAATTGGGCCCGTCCTCGCTATTTAGTGTTTGATGGATGATTCTTTTTTAGTGTTCGAATTGTTCAGGTTGTGGGGTTACTTTTATTATATACTGAAAATTTGGTTATTTCTTCTTGCAGATCAAGAGAAAAACCTGGTTATACAATTAGCGAATGGAAAATATGACTCCCAAGGTATTAAGGTTAGTTTGAAAGTTTTTCCCTCGTACTCCAACAAAAGGATGAATAACCTTTTTATGGACGAGATTCGCTGGACATGTTGAGGTCCTTTGATAGAGTGACTCTGTTGGCATTTGGACCGTTGCGTCGGCCATTTTGATGCAAATGAAAGCCAAATCATTTTACAAATCTCTATCATTTGACTTATAAAAGTGACAGCAATCCCTTTTGGTTTCCAAATGCTTTTCAGTTGTAATCCACGCCTAAGGCGCGTTCCTACTTTCTAGCAACCATGAGGCTTCTTCTGTCATCACCATTGTCACATCCAACATTGTGTCTGTTATTTCTTCTCAGGGTTGCTCCTGTTTTTTGTGGACATCCATACAAACGCCACTCGAATGTGTTCCATTGCGTGGATTGAAGAGACATAAGGATGATATTTGTCTACACTGCCATGGAAATATCAGTAACAGCTGCTGCTTAATGTTTCCGTGAAAGCGTACATCTTGAATGCAACTTGAATAAACCTGCGCTCTCGACGCAGATCCGTTCATATGAATCACCACAAATTTGATGACCCTCTGCAATCTGCCGCATGTGTTGCATGAAGCTCAGGTGGTGTCACGAATCCGTCTCAAATATATATATATATATATATATATATATATATATTTAGATATATATATTTACATATTTAGATATATATATATTTATATATTTAGATATATATAATAATTAGGTGTAAAGGTATCTAGTATGTTAGTCGGCTTCGATACAATACAAAGCATGTAATCCAAGAGTTTAGAAATATTAATTTCAAGATCTACTTGAATAAAAAAGCATTTTGAGCAATTTGCCCTATCAAGAGATTGATTAGTGGATTTTGATGGATATGGATTCCACAAAGTCCAAATCCATTGTTATACTATTAAATTATTAATCAAGTCACATTAAAATATTGAAGGTTCTCCGACGTGTTGGTTGAATGATTGTATAATTATATTACAAATAACTGCAAGTTTGAAGAAAAAATAATAATTTATGCGAATCACAGTTTGATGCACAGAAATAACTCATTAAAAACATAAAAAAAATGTTTTTAGACACTTTGAATGTGACTAGTAGGAAAGTGTAATGCTGTAACAATTTTTCAAACCCGGATTTCATTTGACTAATCTTCTATTAGATTTTAGAGTTTAATTTCTCTTTAAGAAACGACGGACGTTCTTCGCAGAGAATTTCTTATAAAGTCATAACATACATAACCCATGATTGTACACATGCTATGGATTTGTTTGAACTTCACATCAAAGGTGGGTTCTCATTAGGTGGCACGATATTATGTGGCCCCATGATTGAAACTGCAAGTAGCTTTAGCTCCCCATCTATAAGGAACTCTTCCGGTCTTTCCCACAGAAAAACAAAACACCGCAGCAGCAGTAAGGTTCCTCAGCCCACCTTTTCCATCCTCAGCTGGTTTTTCCCAAAAAATCAACCAAACAGCCAATAGATCTCACAAAAACCAGAGCTACTTATATAACACCAGTTCTTCCTCATGGGTTCTATTGGAAGGTGGCCTTTTTCTATCCAAATTTTCAGAAAATTAATTTCTTGAGTTCTGTATTGCAAATTGTGATATGGGTTATTTTTGGATTGCCGGGTTGCTTTCTGGATTTGTTTATGTCGTTGTTCTGTTATGCTGCAGCTCGGAATCGGGGGTTGTCACCGTTGATGTTCAAGAAGCAAAACATCTGCTCGAATCTGGCTATGGTTTTTTGGAAGTTAGGTAAAGAGCTCTCTTTCCCATTTCGTTTTTCCTTATTCTTTCTCAAATTAGGGAACTTTACGAGGGTAACGGCCTGTTATGGACTGTTCTAAAAGAGTTAAAAGCGTTCTGACAACTAGAAAATTAGAAGTGTTTTTGGGGTCGTATGAGCGCCTTCTCTATAAGTACTTCCAATTGTTTTTTCAGGATTACTTATGGTATAAGCGCTTATAAGTGGAAGGGCTTTCTACACAAGCAATCACAAACAGCCCTAGGTTTCAAACTTTTCAATGGGTATTAAGGGAGTGGGGATGAGTTTAGCCTCACAATGGGTTAGTAATGATGTGGTACAAACTCGCCTTTGACGAGAATTGAACCTAAGATCTCTTATTTACAAGTAAGTATAGAAAAATACCACTAGACTGTAGTACGAAGTGACAATTTTTCAACGGGGTATTTAATTATTGGTATTTATAATAGGACGGAGGAGGAGTACAAGAAAGGGCATGTGGATACAAAGAAGATTCTGAACATTCCTTACATGTTCAATACACCTAAAGGTGGCTGTAACTTCTGTTATTTATTAGCGTTTTTACTAGTTTTTATTTCTATTTACCATCAATTTCGTGTTTTCTTCTACCTCAGGTAGGGTGAAAAATCCCCAGTTTTTGGAAGAGGTTTCATCTGCTTGCAACAAAGATGACCTTATTGTTGTGGTAATTTTTTTACTGTTTACTTTCATGGGTTATCTTGTAGCTTTTTACTAAGAATCAAGAGCATATATTTACTGGTAAATTTCTGAATGTGAAATAATAATATTTACAGGGTTGTCAAAGTGGTGTTAGATCCCTTTATGCAACTGCTGATCTTCTGGCTGCTGTAAGTATTCTCAAATCCGTATCCATTTTTTGCATATTTTATTGAAATACGTACAAATAGAACCGATTACAGATGTTTAATCAGAATTAAAACCACGGTTTATTGTCCCTTTAGTTTATCTTTTATTAGAAGTTTGAAACCGATTTTATTTGTGCATATACTCCCACCTTTCACTGTGCTCATCTTTGTTCTTTCATTTCTATCAAATTCTTAGAACATTGTCAATGAAATGATAGGGTTTCAAGAATGTGAGCAACATGGGAGGAGGCTATCTCGCTTGGGTCGAGCATGATTTTCCGGTTACTAAGCCGGAAGACACTGACTGGAAAAAGCCAGAAGATGTTGTGCAACCGAAAAAGGCAGAAGATGTAGCCCAGCAGAAGAAAGCAAAAGAAGAGCTCTAGTTTCTTACATGGCAAGCAACATCTGTATCTGTAATCTGAATTTCTGTGTATATTTATAGTGGATGATATTTAAGAATGTATCACTTCCCAAGTATGAGAAAGGGGAATAAAATCTTGGTTACATTATTGCAAATATTGAAAAGAGTTCGACTCTCATCCTCTTTTTCAAGCGGTCTTGTTTAAATTATTTAAACTCGAAAAGAACACACCAAAGTCTCTAAAATATCAGAACTGGCCACGATTAGATTGAATTTAGCCTTACTAGATTAAAGGAGTGAATTCACAAGTATTCAAACATTCTGTTGACTCAACCAAAGGTATGAATTCACAAGTATGCAAACATTCTGTTGACTCAACCACAAGGTGTGGTGCGATTGGCAAATTGCCACCTTCAGTTGGCAGATTTTTTGGTACTATGTTGGCAGGGGTTTGAAACCAGCTAAGAGCACTTTATGGCCGGAGGCAAGCCGAACTTCGAGTGGAGATTAATCTCACCCTTCAGGTGTGGGGATACTTCGTGGTCTTTATCATAAAAAAAATATTATGTTGACTCCAACTACAATTAGTTTTAATGAAGTAAGAATTCTCGGAGCATAATAAAATTTTCGTTATTTGATATACATTTGTAATTGAATTCAATATCCCACAATTTTAATTGAGCTGTCTAACCAATAAGAGATTTTTCCAAGTGCCCAGTTTTCAAAGCGTACTTCATAAGTCATAATACAAATGGAGGAAATAATATATGTTTCCATGTCCCTCCACTCGTATTATAACCGTTTGAAAACCCCGGATACTTTGAAAAATTTCTCCTAATGAAAGACAAAAATTTTCACGTACTCAACGTGTTATAATACATGTAGGAGTTTCTGGGCTTTTATTTACGAGAGATGCTAAGGAGACTCAAAATTGAGACTTTTCATGGACTATCCGCCACCTCATGTTTTTTGCACAATTATCGTGCCAACATAATAAAAAATTAGGAAAAATTAGGTTCCAATCCCATATTTCATATTACATTGATTAAAACCTTGTTGTTTTTCTATTTTAGATCAAGGTCCTTTGACTTAATCCATGTCATCATTTTAGTATACATATCATCATAAATGAAATCTCATCCGCTTCTGCATTTAAGGCAAAATAAACTATATGAGTATGTTTAAAACAAGGAAAATCCATTTGAACTCCTCCATTATTCTTCTTCCCTTATGCACATCCGGAATCCACAACACCCCAAACCCAATTTTCTCCATTTTTTCTCCATTCTTGAATTGATCCAATGGATATATGTTGATAAACCTATTGTGATTAAAATACAAATTAGCATCAATGGTTTTATCGGCTTGTGAGATTTGTCGGAATCTGGTTGATTCAAACATGCAGAGACTGTAGAGTGAGTAGGCTATGTGAAAATTGTACCATTCTGAAGTCATCTTCGTTTGTTCTTTATATTTTTTTTTTCCTTTTATTATTATATATTAGTCTTGATTATTCAATGTCTTGTTGGCTACACTTATATCCATGGGTACATTTTTAATCTACATGTTTCGTTGTAATATATCTATTGCTATAATATGTTTTGGTTGGTTCAAATTCGTTTTACATAAATATATGGGTACAAAGTTTTTGGAGAATATTATGTAAAATGGTTTTTAAGGTTGCTGCATTTTATGTACCCACATGTGCATGTCTATAAAACAATGTGGTATGATGTACGTTCTTTTCCTTGAGTTTTTAAATATACCTATGAGTTTTCTTGTAAATTCGGTATGTACCCATATGCTATTAATGTATATCCACATACATTATTTTTGGTCTAAGTTCGTGGGTACATTGCTTTTGTATGTATGAATTCATGAGGTACATTATTTCCCTTAATACTACTCAATAAAATTCACAAAAATATGTGCAGTGTGCATGAATTTTTATTGTATAAATTGTTTTTATTTTTAAGTCTCATAATTCGTGAGATTTGTACATATATGATCCCATAAATTTTTGAATTTATAAAATTTTAAATCTCTTTTAGACTTGATTGATTGATTGAATCTCATAATACTAGGATTTTGAATTACATAAATTCTTGGATTTAAATCCCTTAAATGTTGGACTGCAATCAATATTTTAAATTACAGTTTTTTATTTAAGATTTCAAAAAGATGATATGGAAATATAGTAATATTAAAATGCTGAAATGTACAAAGTCAAAAGACTTTGATCAAAAAATAAAAAACAATAAGATTTCAATCTAACAATTGAGTTGACTAGGGACTGGAACTAAAATGACAGGGCAGAGAGTCCAACTTTGAGATAGTCTTCTTAACATTTCTCTTATATTATATAAGATCCATGAAATCGCTTCCCATACAGTATTGATTGTTATAATCTTCTCAACAACCATGGCAGATACTAGACATACCACAGTTATTACAGTTAGGTGGTCGGCAACTCATTATTTACACACCCAAAATTAACAAATAAGTTGCCACTCTAAATTATAATAAAAGTGAGTGTCTCAGCAAGCGTGTTAGTTTTATGTGTTCAAATAACATTGTTCTTGTAATGTTGGCATTCAATTCAAAACTAATGTGTCGAGATGTGCGGGTTATTTTCAGACTATCACGCCAAACTTTTATTACTTAACATAGAGTACTCTTAACACGTCATCTTACATGTTACAGCTTTCTACTATGACACTATATTAAAATATAAATATTCAACCCAAAACCAATTTACAATCAGAGAAGTGACGCTTACAAGATTCAATATTCAACATGCAATCTCTAAAAAATATAAAGTGCATTTATCATGCCTTAGTCTGCCATATATCCTATACACCAACTATGATTAATATTTCAATCAATTAACTTTATTTTAATTTAAAATAAAATATAAGGGTAGAAAAATGCACCAAAAGAATACGATCCTAAAGTTGCCATGACAATATCCTTTATTAATTTTCTTAATCAATGTGACATGTTTTTATTTATTTTTTAATCAGACAATAAATTTTGTTAAATTAATCACTCATAAAAGTTTAAATTCATTCATACGGTAGTAAATGATCACTTACATTCAATGCGACATGCTAGGCAGAGACACGCTCAAAGCCCTAGAGATGCTGTGGTCAAAGGACTACTTCAAAACATGCAAACTGCTAGTGTCAGCTAGTGGGGCCCATTTCTGTGGCCACCCACTATGCTGAAAGGGGGTCCGTGAGATCAAGGTCCTTTGATTTAATCCATGTCATCATTTTAATATTTAAAATATTATACGTCATCATAAATGATCATAAATGAAATCTTCTGCATTTAAGGCAAAATAAACTATATTAGTAAGTTTAGAACAAGGAAAATCCACTTGAACTCCTCCATTATTCTTCTTCCCTTATGCACATCCGGAATCTACAACACCCCAAACCCAATTTTCTCCATTTTTTCTCCATTCCTGAATTGATCCAATGCATATATGTTGATAAACTTATTGTGATTAAAATACAAATTAGTATCAATGGTTTTATCGGCTTGTGAGATTTGTAGGAATCTGGTTGATTCAAACATGCAGAGACTGTAGAGTGAGAAGGCTATGTGAAAATTGTACCATTCTGAAGTAATCTTCTTTTGTTCTTTATGTTTTTTTTTCCTTTTATTATTATATATTAGTCTTGATTATTCAATTCTTGTTGGCTACACTTATATCCATGGGTACATTTTTAATCTACATGTTTCGTTCTAATATATCTATTGCTATAATATGTTTTGGTTGGTTCAAATTCGTTTTACATAAATATATGGGTACAAAGTTTTTGAAGAATATTATGTAAAATGGTTTTTAAGGTTGCTGCATTTTATGTACCCACATATGCATGTCTATAAAACAATGTGGTATGATGTACATTCTTTTCCTTGAGTTTTTAAATGTACACATGAGTTTTCTTGTAAATTTGGTATGTACCCATATGCTATTAATCTATGGGTACATACATTATTTTTGGTCTAAGTTCGTGGGTACATTGATTTTGTATGTATGAATTCATGGGTACATTATTTCCCTTAATACTACTCAATAAAAATATGTGCAGTGTGCATGAATTTTTATTGTAGAAATTTTTTTTTTTAAGTCTCATAATTCGTGAGATTTGTACATATATATATGATCCAATAAATTTTGAATTTATAAAATTTTAAATCTCTTTTAGACTTGATCGATTGATTGAATCTCATAATACTAGGATTTTGAATTACATAAATTCTTGGATTTAAATCCCTTAAATATTGGACTTCAATCAATATTTTAAATTACAGTTTTTTATTTAAGATTTCAAAAAGATGACATGGAAATATAGTAATATTAGAATGCTGAAGTGTACAAAGTCAAAGGATTTTGATCAAAAAATAAAAAACAATAAGATTTCAATCTAACAATTGAGTTGACTAGGGACCAGAACCAAAATGACCCATGTCATAAACATAAGGGGCAGAGAGTCAAACTTTGAGAGAGTTTTCTTAACATTTCTCTTATATTATATAAGATCCATGAAATCGCTTCCCATACAATATTGATTGTTATAATCTTCTCAACAACCATGGCAGATACTAGATATACCACAGTTATTATAGTTAGGTGGTCGGCAACTCATTATTTACACACCCAAAATTAACAAATTAGTTGCCACTCTAAATTCTAATAAAAGTGGGTGTCTCAGTAAGCGTGTTAGTTTTATGTGTTCAAATAACATTGTTCTTGTAAGGTTGGCATTCAATTCAAAACTAATGTGTAGAGATGTGCCTGTTATTTCTAGACTATCACGCCAAACTTTCATTATTTAGCATAGAATAATCTTAACACGTCATCTTATATGTCACAACTTTCCGCTCCTCCTCACATGTGGACTTGTCTTAACAAGGAAGCACGTAAGACTGCTTGTGACATGAATAATCTCCTATGACACCATATTAAAATATAAACATTCAACCCAAAACCAATTTAGAATCAAAGAAGTGACGCTTACAAGATTCAATATTCAACATGCAATCTCTAGAAAAATGAAGTGCATTTATCATGCCTTAGACTGCCAGATATCCTATACACCAACTATGATTAATTTTTCAATTAATTAACTTTATTTTAATTAAAATATATATATATATATATATATATGGGTAGAAAAATGCACCAAAAGAATACGATCCTAAATTTGCCATGACTATATCCTTTATTAATTTTCTTAATCAATGTGACATGCTTTTTTTTTTTTTTTTTTTTTTGCCAAATAATAGGTTTTGTTAAATTAACCACTTACGAAATTAAAATCTACGCACTATTGTAGTAAATGACCACTTGCATTTAATGTGACATGCCAACTAATGCTGACTAAACAGTATCATATGAAACGGTCAGCATGGAAGACAGAGACACGCTCAAAGCCCCAGAGATGCTGTGCTCAAAGGACAACTTCAAAACATGCAAACTGCTAGTGTCAGCTAGTGGGGCCCATTTCTGTGGCCGCCTACCATACTGAAAGTGGGTCAGTGAATAATTTCGTGACAATAATCCATGCATGTTTCCTTAAATTTTCTGCTGGTGCACTTCTCATTTTGGGCATGGAAACCCCACAAACCCAGCAACCCACCACCTAATCGGAGCCCATTAATGGCCTGAAATCAACCCATGTAACAACCAGTCGTACCATTTTTAATGTTGAATGTTCTGGTTCATCAGACAAGCGGAAGCAGATAGCTTTTGAAAAAAGCAGAAGTTGTTCTTCTGGGTTTTTCTGCTTTTGGGTTTGGTAAAAAATGGAGGAGAGGGAAGGAAGATCCTTGGCTGAAACCCCAACGTGGACAGTTGCTTGTGTGACTTGTGTCATGGTTGTTCTTGGGTTCTTCTTCAATGGCTCTTTGGAACGGGTTGGAAAGGTAATTTTGATCTTAAATCTTCAATGTTTGTCTTTGTTTTGGTGTTTGTTTACCTTTCCCTTAATCGTGTGCCTCTTCTTAGCGAGTTTAGCCAATTAGTCACACCCCTTTTATCTAAGTTCAATCTGTAGATTATATTGTCCTTATTTCAAGAAAAACTTCAGGTGTGTCCGCCCCGTTTCATCAATTTTGATCCTCGATGATGTAGATTAGAGTAGTTTAGAATATCGTATTATCTCAGAGTCTTATATTATTCCCCTACTTTGTGACAGTGGTTGGATAAGACTAAAAGGAAGTCTCTAATTGCTGCTCTGCAGAAGATTAAAGAAGGTAATAATTTTAGGAATCGGTTTTTTGTTCTTCATTCAATTTGTATTAATCTTGGTTCGGATGATTTCAACTCATCCTTTTGCCTGTCAATGTTGTTGAAGCAGAGCTCATGCTTTTTGGGGTTATGTCATTGTTGATGAGTCACTTCATTATTATTGTGGCCAAGATTTGCGTTAAATCGTCGGTTATGAGCAGCCGGTTCTTTCCATGTGCATCAGAGAGTGAATTTGTGAATGCTGTTGAACATGTTCTTGTTCCGAGTTCAGGCAATTTGAATAGTTCAGTCTCCAGTGTACAGGTGAAGGCTGGTTCTCAACAGGGCTATTGTCCTGAGGTAATTTCACTTGCTCATGGCATAATGAATTCCTTTTAATGCAATTGTAGTCGGAAATACTTTAAGCCTGTATATATTCTCCCACGCGAATCTCAGCAATCACTTGTTCTGAGTCTGCGTGTTGATCATTTGGAAAAATCTTGATGACAGAGTTTATGGTTCTTTCACATGTGACAACATTCGCTTGGTTGTTAGTTGAAAAGTTTCTTGTCACATGGTACTCAGTCAAATAAAAGTTTCTTGTTTCATATCTTGTTATATGGTTGCTAGGGTCATGAATCCTTTGCTTCTCAACAAAGTCTTGAACAGCTTCACCGTTTGATGTTTGTGCTCGGCATCACCCATGTTTTTTACAGCTTCGTAGCCATTGTCCTGGCCATGATTAAGGTAACTATATCATATCATCGATCAAACTTCTCTAATGGTCCCTGGGGCCGTGCCGTCCTAATTACAGAAAAACTAAGCGCATTTTCCTAATCTTCTGCAGATTTACAGCTGGAGAGTATGGGAAAATGAAGCCAAAGCTATAGCAAGTCAGACCTTAGAAGGTGAAAAACTGTTTGTATTGATTTCCAGAGTTGTCCATCTGTTGTTTACCAGACGTAACTTTGGATATGCTTTACAAATTGTAGATGTCATGCATGCCCTATTATTTTTGCTTCCTTTATCCAGATACCGCAGAAGGTAGACCAGGTATTCAAAGAATGAGGAGATTGTCTACTTTCATTTTTCACCATGCATCACATCCATGGAGCCAGCACAGAGTTCTTGTTTGGCTGGTATTCTCACATCCTAATTTCTTATTCAGATATATCAGTACACTCGAAATTTATCACCTTTTTGTTATTTATATGCTGGATGGTAATTCTGTTTCATCATCTTGACTGAGAAATGTATCTTTAAATTTTAACTTGAGGTCTCGGCCCCCACATTTGCACGCATTTGGGCATTATCACTATCTCTACAGATGCTACAACATTGCTTAAAACTTACCTCGTCGTTCATTTACACGTAGGACAATCAATTTCAATCAATGATATTCTATTTGGCTATTTGCAATGTATGCTTGTGCTATGTTAACGGCAGTTTCCTGAACTTTTGTCTCGCAGAGTCGCTTTATCTGCTGTTATGATTTTATTTACCATCAACTTTGTTCAACCCAACTTGCAGCTTTGTTTCAGCCGCCAGTTCTGGAGTTCTATAAACCGGTCTTCTTACATGGCTTTGCGCTTCGGCTTCATCACTGTACGTTCTTTTCTAGTCTCAATGTTTTTTTGTCTTTCTTGAGCATTTACGGTACTTGTATAATTCATATTCATATCTGCATGCTTTTTCACACGGTGAGTCCGGCTATAGTAGAAAAGTTGGCTTTGCCATGGCATCTGGAATATTAGTTTCTTTTTACGACTGTTACATTTATGGAAAATAAGTCATATCCACGGTATTATAGCTTGCTTTATGTTCTCTATTTTTTTTAATTACATATTGAGTCGTTCAGAGTGCAAAAGAATGTGCAAGTAAAGATCACAGGACTAGCTTTGCATTGCTGACTCTGCTGTGTTTCACCTCCTTCATGTAGACTCATCAACTTCCCTTGTCGTATGATTTCCATAATTATATGATTCGCAGCATGGAGGAAGAATTTCGGGATATTGTTGGTATCAGGTAAACTTTTTACTTATTACTCTTCTTCAGAAACTGGTTTTTTTTTTTTTTTTTTTTTCTTGTAAAAGTTTATTTCTGTGACGAATTTAGTAATTTATTCATCTCAACATAGATTCTGGTGAACGTAATTACATTTTTTGCACTTATTTTGCAGTTTGCCTCTTTGGATTTACACCATCTGTTGTGCTGTTCTAGATTTTCATGGTAATTTTCTTTGTCTCGAAAAGCTTATACCAATGCTTAACTACGGTCTCAAAGGACAACAATTGTCACCCAAGTTAAAATTTATGCAGTTAAAATTCCTGGAAAAAAATTGATACATTTTAGCTGTCAAGCTAATCTTACCACGCGCTTTAACTTTGTTACTGACATTCAGGAAGCAACCTTTACTTTTGGCTTTCCTTCCTTCCAGCCATTGTAAGTCACTGATGTTCAAATTTCCTGGAGCTTCTCTAAAGTTCAACATTTTTCGAAGTAACACTGCATAATTTCTCTTTTTGTTTCCCTTCTTTCATGACTCCCACATCAGTTGATCCTGCTTATTGGTACAAAACTGCACCGAATAGTGGTAAAGCTGGCTGTCGAAATCATGGAAGAAAGTCCGTATATGGAAAATCATCAGTTTAAACTAAGAGATGAGCTCTTCTGGTTGAAGAAGCCCTGGCTTCTTTTACGTGCAATACAATTGATATCCTTCCAGGTGAGTACTAGATCACTTGCATCCATTTCAATTCTTAAAATTAATGACGTTTAATTCCCACCATCCTAATATTTTACCGGCATTTGTTTTTCAGAATGCCCTCGAGATGGCAACTTTCATCTGGTCCCTGGTATGAATGTAATGACTTGTTAAGGGCCCATTTGATAACCATTTTAGTTTTTAGTTTTCATCTTACACGGGCCTCTGAAATAAAAAAGTTCAAAGCTTCCTTATCTTAGTTCCTTGTGATGCTGAATCGCTGATTCAAATGTTTTGTTTCCAGTGGGAAATTAAGGAACCTTCGTGTTTCATGGACAACCGTACTTTCCTTGTGATTCGCTTGACATTTGGGTATGTAATGTACATTTTTCGCTCTTTCCATTGCAACTGATGTGTTTCGGGTCTAGTTCATTGTCTGCAAATTGTGCCAATGTGGTTCGATATCGTAGATATAAATGCTGATTACTTATCGATCACTCACCGCAGGGTTGTCACGCAGTTCTGGTGTAGCTTTATAACATTCCCACTCTATGTTATCATCACACAGATGGGTTCAAGGTTCAAGAAATCTGTAGTATCTGAAAATGTAAGAAATTCGCTACATGGATGGACAAGGAGAGTGAAGGCCAGACAAAGTACTTCATCCACTGCTACTACACACTTGTTGAAGACATCAACATCATCCGATTCTATTGTGGATGAAACTCGCAAACTCGAAAGTTCTGCCTCAAACTCTTCGGAGAGAAGTTCCTTCAAGAAACAGAATACATCTTTCCGACATCTGCAGGGCGGCGATGAGAAGTTAGAAACTCCGCTCTCTGTTGGTCCGGTTTACGACAGTTATAGCGATGACAACGAGGGTGATTACCATCACGATGATCATAGTAACATAAAAGATGAATTGGCTCTCCTTCCGCCATAAGCTTTTCTTTTTTGGAGTATCACTAGGGATGTAGACTACTTGCATACACTTTGATACATTAATTAATCATTTAGCGTCCAAATGTTTCAACCACTGCGCCTCTCTGAAGCAGTGGTATTAGTAGATCCCACTTGCTGCAGCTCAAAGCTAAGCTTCAAAATTTGAAGAAAGGAGCCCTATCCGTGTCTGGCTATCTTCAGCTTGTTAAGCAGACCTCTGATGCCCTTGCTGCAGCTGGTGATTCACTTGATGACCTCGATATTGTAGCACATACCCTCAATGGCCTTCCTAGTGACTACAATGCCTTTGCTACTTCGACTAGTACATGTTTTTCTAATTTTTTTTTTTTTAACAAACTATATTATCTGTAAAGGGGAGGGTGTGGTTTAGTTTCACAATAGGCTAACAATAATATGGTTCAAATATTTTTCCGCTCTTTGAGTTTCTAACTTTCTTTAATATCATGATTAAAGATGCATCTTTACATCATGTGGCGTTTACGTCTAGTAATACATTGTTATGTGTGAATTTTTTCTTCATATGATAATGCACTACAGAGAATCTGCATGTTGTAACCGAGAAGAAGATCCGCAACTGCTCATCCCGAAGAAAAAGACTGATGCCTAGCTGCGCCTTAGGGCGTGCATGCTTTGTTGTTCGCCCAGTTGTGATTAACAAATCTGCTATATTCAAATGTCAATCATAGTTGTCACGGTTCAATAGGATAATGTTAGGAAGATTAAATTTGTAAACAAAATTTTGTAAATTAAATGACATGAAAATTGATGATTGGATTGGTAATTAAGTGTTGATAAATGTGTTCATTCATACTATTTACACATCATTTAGTCTACAAATATAGTTTCTTTAGCATTATCCTGATTCAATAACTTACAAGTTACACCAATCTTCATATGGTAATTGAAAATCGACAAGAAACCATCTTCTAATTAGAATCTGTAATATTAATCGAGTCCCAAACTATATACTTTTGGAAGCATATCTACCTCCACTTTCTTCTTTGCAGCTGGCCATGCTAATATGAAAACCTTTAATTCATATATGTTCTAATTTCGTGTATGAACAAAGGCTACAAAGTGCATCCCAAAGTTTAATTTAGTAACTCACACATTTGTTGTCAAAATATCATCACTTTTGTAAATTTAATTTAATTTCTCCACTAAATTGGTGATAAGAACCACATATACGGTAACCCTAAAATTGCAATCTCTCAGTGTGTCACATCTCAATGTCTTAGAATGTATATGTTCACGTGCAACTTCTTCCACTGGCAGAAATGGTTACACCTAACGCCACTACACATATCATTTCGAAGATCCGTTTCTTGAGAGATTTTTTAGTGTGATTGGCACACGAGATGGTAAACCACATGTCAGTATACAAATGGTATAATATGTGTGTTAAAATATTAATAACTTAAAAAATAAAATTTTCCACTACTTATATAAAACACGTGATGTACCACTCGTGTTCCCGTCACAATTAAAAATTTCTCCCGTTTCTTGTGCATTTTGTATTTGTTTTTTTTTTTCCATTGATTTATCGTTGAGTTAAAAACAAAAAAACAAGGGAAAACTTGATATAAGTCCATTTTTTTGAGCCGATGGTAAGAATATTTCAGTTTATTAAAATAAGTCCAATTTGTTATATTTAATTGTTTAATTATCAATAGTTATACGTTGAATGATAAGATTTATTACAAAAACAAAATTTCTTCCCAATTATCTCTTTGCTTATTTCTTTTTATTTATCTTTTTGTTATTTCTCATTCTTCCTCCTATTTTAAACCCCATTTATAGATTTAATTTTTAATTTTTATATGTGACATCCCACATCGCCCAGGGGAGTGATCCTCAAATGTATATTCCCATCCCTACCTAGCACGAGGCCTTTTGGGAGCTCACTGGCTTCGGATTCCGTAGGAACTCCGAAGTTAAGCGAGAAGGGGGCTAGAGCACTCCCAGGATGGGTGACCCTCTGGGAAGTTGCTCGTGAGTTCCCAAAAACAAAACCGTGAGGGAATGGTAAGCCCAAAGCGGACAATATCGTGCTACGGTGGTGGAGCGGGCTCGGGAAGTGGTCCCACCCGGGCCGGGATGTGACAAATTGGTATCAGAGCCTATCCCTGGCCGCGTGTGTGCCGACGAGGACGTCGGGCCCCTAAGGGGGGTGGATTGTGACATCCCACATCGCCCAGGGGAGTGATCCTTAAATGTATATTCCCATCCCTACCTAGCACGAGGCCTTTTGGGAGCTCACTGGCTTCGGATTCCGTAGGAACTCCGAAGTTAAGCGAGAAGGGGGCTAGAGCACTCCCAGGATGGGTGACCCTCTGGGAAGTTCTCGTGTGAGTTCCCAGAAACAAAACCGTAAGGGCGTGGTCGGGGCCCAAAGCGGACAATATCGTGCTACGGTGGTGGAGCGGGCCCGGGAAGTGGTGCCACCCGGGCCAACACAGCTCGATTCAGGGTCCAAGTGGACTTTCTGGGTCGGGGTGTGTCAGTTTGGTATCAGAGCCTATCCCTGGCCACGTGTGTGCCGACGAGGACGTCGGGCCCCTAAGGGGGGTGGATTGTGACATCCCACATCGCCCAGGGGAGTGATCCTTAAATGTATATTCTCATCCCTACCTAGCACGAGGCCTTTTGGGAGCTCACTGGCTTCGGATTCCGTAGGAACTCCGAAGTTAAGCGAGAAGGGGGCTAGAGCACTCCCAGGATGGGTGACCCTCTGGGAAGTTGCTCGTGAATTCCCAAAAACAAAACCGTGAGGGAATGGTAAGCCCAAAGCGGACAATATCGTGCTACGGTGGTGGAGCGGGCCCGGGAAGTGGTCCCACCAGGGCCGGGATGTGACATTATAATCAACCTATATAACAGGTTAATTATATTTATCTACTTATATGACAGATTCTTTTTTTATAATCAAAATGTCACAGATTAATGTGTCTTGCTTGTAGGTATGTTATATTTTTCTACCTTTTAATTAGGTTTCATATCTCACGTATAGTTATTATTTACGTTCATATATTTGTTACTTGAGTTTGGGTAGAATGTTTTTAAAATTTATGTTAGTATATTAGTTTTTTTGTTATAAGATATTAAATATATTCTTTTGGAGTTGGAAAATGCATGATATTAGAAGATTTTAATTGATTTTTAATATTTTTAGAAAATATAAAATGAGTCAAAAGAAATAAAAACATATAATTAGATAACTGGACTCCCTCCTAAAAACACTCTACATTTTTGGACCTGGATCTAAAAGCCCCTAAAAACAAACAGGAGAGTGAAAAGAATAAAAGAGTGAAAATCATACTTCCGAACAACAATTTTATCACATCTTTACTAATTAATAAAATCCTTTTTGTCAACCAAAAAATGATGAAAAGACAAATTAGTTTTCTATCACACAAAAAAAATAATGGACAATAATGTAATTTCATAGGGCCAAATTTTACTGTGTTTTATTGAAACTTCACCTATAAGTAATGTTAAAATACCTCCAATATTTAAAAAAAAAAAAAAAACCAAAAACAAAAACCTCCCACTCCCCTCAGGTTCTCTCCCTCTCCATCTCTCCTCATTTTCTAAAAATATGTGTTCATTCACACAAAATGTATAGGCAAATACTAGTTTTTCATATTATAAATAGCACTCTGGAGTCCACACTTTAAATCACAATACAATAGATATCATCAGATCAGCCAAAACCATGAGCCTCATGAGAAAAATGTCTCATAACATTCTAATTTTCTCTCTTGTTCTAGTAGCCTTCCTCATGTTTGCAGCAAGCATGGGAGGCAAGGCACAAGGTTTCAGCATCAAGATGTTCACCACCCTTTCACCAAACCTCACCTTAGTTGAAAAACACCAAAAACTAATCCAAATCTCGAAAGCCCATCGATTTCAACCGATCACGAACCCTAATTCATCATCACCAGTACTGGTCCCAAACACCATAAGATCTTACGTTAGACATGCATTCAGTGACTTCTTTTACACAGTGATCACCATCGGCACACCTCCACAGGTAACCAACCTGGCAATCGACACCGGTAGTGCTTTTACCTGGGTTCAGTCTGCAGAATGCAGAAAGTGTATCGTCACGCCATTGCCAGGCTTCGACCTCAGGAAATCATCCTCGTCAAGAGTCCTGCCTTATAATCACCCGCTTTGTGTTCCTCCATTCCTCAGCCCTCGCGGCCGTGGCTGTTCCTATCTTTTAGAGTATGCTGACCGTACTACCACTGAGGGTTTGGTCGGATTCGAGAAATTTACATTCTTATCCGAGCAAGGGCAACAAGATGTCCCATTGGCGTTTGGGTTAGGACTAGTGAACAATATAATCTTCAGCGTCCGTGATGACGATCATCCGAATCCAATAATCGGGATTATGGGGTTAGGGAGGGATCACCCCACAAGTATTATAAGACAACTAAAACCAATCACCCTTCTAAGATTTTCCTATTGCCTTGCGCCACAATTTGAGGCCACCCCATCATTGTTACATTTTGGTGACGACGCACAAATTATAGGTGCCACAAATGTTCGTAGCACACCAATTTTGGGCGGTCCAGACGACCATTATTACGTGAGATTAAATGGTATAAGCCTCAACGGACAGCTTCTCCCCATCGATCCGAACTTATTCACGCGAGGGGGAGGAGGGGTGGTTGTTGATACCGGGGCTCCGTACAGTCTTATCGTCGACGAAGCGTTCCAGATCTTGAGGCAGGCTGTGGTGGACTACTTTTACAACAAGTACCAATGGCAACCAATTCCGAAAACTGCGAGAGATGACTTTGACCTTTGCTACGACTTCCATACAGTATTCACTGCACCGTCAGTGATGCTTCACTTCGAAGGCGGCGATATGGAGGTGCATAAGCCGTCACTCTTCACAGTAGTTGAAAAAAAGAGTGAGTTATGCATGACGATATTGTCACTGGGTACTAGTGAAAACTTGCCAAGCATCGTGGGCGCGGTTCAGCAGGTTAATTATAAGTTTTTGTTTGACGTCGGTGCAAGGATGTTGCACTTTACTGAAGAAGATTGTTGAAGATTGACAGTATAATTAGGGTTTAATAATTGGTATGTATATGTGCCGATCATGAAAATCTAGCAGAATAATAACAATAATAACACTTAAAGACATTTGTATGTTCGGTTTATTGCCTAGTTATTCTTAAATTCTGACATTTATCATAGAATCAAACTGAAAGAAGCTGAAGCTAGCAGTTCCTTTATTTGACTAGTGGTGCTTACAAACACAAGATCTCCAACAAAGCAAAGCAATTCAGTGCGATCGGTCTTCGTACCTTCCTTATCCCTGCAACAGAAAAAAGGGAGAGCAAACTCATGTTGCGGTAAAGAGTTGCCATATTTCGTGTCATACATCGATGCCCCGATAAAGTATTTGATATCTAAAATTTAAATCTTGCATACATAATGTGCATCTTTGACGTAGCACGACAAACTGAAGG